CCTAAATTAAATATACTTTAATTTTCCTATATAAAATTTAGATGGGATAAAATGCGCATTAATGCGCACGATTGAGGGATCATGCGAACGCATGAAACCCATCTCTACCCACGTGTCACGCGCGGCAAATCTACAGGTTTCTTAATTTTTGTGTCTGATAAAAAGCCATGCAGAAATTATTAATGTATTGAAAATCAATTTTCTTGTTCTGCCGTAAATTTTAAAATAACGCTATTTTTAATTCAGGCCAGATATTATATTAATGCCAGCCATATGATATGGTAATGCGGCCAGGTAATTTTATCCAGGATCAAAAATCCCGCACGTGCCCATCTCTAGTGCCAGCACTTGCAGAGCTCTAGTTACATACCTGATACATACGTGCGTATGTATATACAATCATACATACCTGATACCTATTCTTGAGTTAGTTTATTAATTGGGTATACGTGGAAACTTTTTTAAAAAAAATAAACATCCGATAATAAGCTACCCTTATTATCGAGCAAATTTTTTTGAAAACTGTAAAACCCGAAAATAAGCTACCCTTCTTTTTGTATTTGTATTCAAAATTGCTTTAAAAAAAGTAACTTAATTTCAAATGACCCAATAGGTCATTTCGCTCTTTTAAATGACCGGTCATTGGTCATTATTCACACGAGGTCATTTCAGGTCATTTACCATCCCTGATTAGTAAGAGCTTCTGATAATGCCCTATAAAAAAGTCAATCCGTGGTTTGTATCCATGCTTTCCCGTAAATGTTACCTATTGACGGAGTTTATAACCTTAAATCATGGAGTTTATCGACTCGGCTAAATTTTGTATGTTGTAGATTTACGAAGTTTTCACAAAAAAAGTAAGGAAATATTCGGATAAAATTTCTTACAGGGATACTTTACTATAATGAACATTTAACCCGTTATTTCCAGATTCAAATAGGCCAGTCTAGTGTTTTTCCAAAGAGCTTCTGCTATTCCTTTTTCACTTCATGATCAAAATCACTTGTAAAAATATTTTATTTTTGCAAAGAATTTTTTTTAACGCTTTCCTTCCACTGATAAAAGCTTATTAATAGAACATAAAGAAATAAGAATTGTTCCATAAAGAGTTTTAACCAATGCAATTCCTTCTTTGCCACAAGCTTTATTATAATTAAAATCAGTATTAAAGAGACACGATCTGCGTATTTACACTATCCTTTATTTAAATTTTATTTGAAATATTTATTTAACTTTACAAGCAACACTCATCATAATTTTCTTTATTATTTCAAGAGTCTATTAGTCCGATTCACTATACCGAGAGGATTTTATATAAACTAGTCTTCATTATAATGAGAAATTCACTATAATGAGAAATTCACTATAACGAGAGTTCACTATAACGAGAGTGACTTGTATATAACTTTATATGTATATAAAAATTATATCAATGTAAATCTACATATAAATTTTACATAATGCCAAATAAAAATAATTTCCTAATAACAGATAATGTTAAGTTTACTAATTTATATCGACTTGCTCTATTTGTGTTTCACTGAATAATTTATAATCACTTTCTTCATTTTCTTTAAATCCTGTAATAATACGATTTATTTCAGATAAGTTAATAGTTCGGCTTGTAAAGTATGCCCCCGCATTTTGTACTGTTGGTTGAATAGAAATTTCCTGAAGTTTCTTATCAGAATTTCGAAATTGCACGATGGCCTGCTTAATTATATCATCTTTTATATCTTCAATATCTTTGTTATATTTTCCCAACAATTGTATATAATATTTAGTAATTCTTTAGCTGTTGGTCGTTTAGAAGGATCCATATTCCAACATCTTTCAATCAAATATGCGTAAAAGTGCGGCACATAATTAGGAATTTGTGGCCTAACACCTTTATAAATATCAAAAAAAAAGATTTATTTTATTCGAATAATTATTAAATGGTGGTTCACCAGCCGTAATTTCCCACATAAGCATTCCAAAGCTGTAAATATCTGATTTTTCAGTATAACGTCTTTCTCTTAAAACCTCTGGAGCAATATAAGGAAGTACGCCGTATATTTCATCATCTTTTAATGAATATTTTTGAACTCGTTGTGACAACCCAAGATCACTTATTAATAAAATGTTCAAATCATCAATTTCGTTAAAACGAGTATATTTCCACTGTGCAAATCTTTATGAACTAGATTCAATTGATGAATTCCAACAAGCCCAAATATAATTAAATTTAAAATAAATAATCGTTTTTTCCAATTAATCCTACATATCTTTTGTAAATTACTTCTTAAACTTCCTCCATGTGCATAATTCATCACAATTATATATTCTGAAGTCTCAGGATCTTGAGTAATTCCAAGTAATGGAAATAAAAACTTTGTCATCTTAAAAGCATTTAGATGAAATTTCAACTAATTATAATATAAAAAAATCTGATTTAATGACGATTTTAAACAAATAAATTCATGCAATGTATTTGGCTTTAAATCACTTTCACTTGATTATCGCTGTTTGCAAAATGGTTTACAATATCTTTGATAAAATTTTGTATTTGATTGCGCGATTGAAAATTATAATCTTAGCAAATATTAATACGGCAGGCAAAAAATTTATTAAATGCTATATTTATATTGAATTTTTATCTGAAAAATTCAACATTGTAGTCATACAATCGGACAACAATCAGGTGATTGCAATGCGGGCTGTGGCCATACCATTGATCAAATTTTATATATATCGCAACTAGAGATGCGATTTCATGCTGTGCATTAATACACATTTATACGCATGATTCCGTTTGCGCTATCTCTATCATTTGCAAACAGTGATAAATAAAAACCATGAAAATGAACTTACTTCATATAAGAATTGATCGTTAATCTTTGATGAATAATTAAGCCTTTTTAATGCAACAAAAAGACCATTTTTTAATTTATCACTATCCCGATCTGAAAATTCTTTATACTTCCAATTTTCATCTATTAACCCTATAGCTCTATGCCAATTATTCTTTCCGTGATTCCACTTTATAATACGTCCATCAATTCAAATGGCTTTATAAATAACACCGAACCCACCTTTGGCAACATATGTGATTTCTCTCAAGCGATTATATGGAATCCATTCTAGAACTTCAAACATACTTGTAGCATCAATCTGAGAGTTTTGTATAAATATATCAATGAATTGATTTCCACTTGTCCAACTTGAAAAGCTGTGCATAAATTTTTTAGCATAGCAAGATTTACACCAATATTCATAGGTATTTGGTTGATTGCAGTCTGGACAGAGGCTATATTCTTGCAGAACCTCTTCACTGGATAAATGCGATAAGTCTGGTATAAATCTGTTATAGATAAGAATCATGATAAAAATGTTATATATGATTAAATTATTACTACTATTTATATAATGGTTAAAATAATTACATTTTTTAAGTTTAGAATTAATTTGATCCAAGAATTTTCTTCCACTATTTTAAAGAAATAAAATGTGTTACTTTAACTATTGTAGATGGTAATACTGTAATAAAATAATTATTAAATTTAAACGAACTAAATAATATCAATAATTTGTGCTAATTATGAAATAATTTAGATGTAATGGCATGGCATACCTTAAATCATTAGCAGACTGGGGAGCATCCCATGTAGTTGCTTTTGAAATGCGATTAAAGAAATACTGTCGGCCACTTTTTGAATCGAGTCGCGTTTCCCATCCATAGGGAAGTGAAATCAAACTTAGAATTTGTTGCTGTGAGGTTTTACAAGGATCTTCCCAAGTCGATATTCTCAAGTCATGATTAACGAAATATACTCTACCATCTACTGTAATTTTTCTCTCTTAATTATGCAATAAACCTAAAAGTTAATTTAATTATATATCATATTCAAAACCACATATATGTCTTGACAATATTTACCCCAACCAAGTGGCAAAGTAGATAGATTAGTATGATTATTTCTTAATGTCTTACTTAAATCTGCAAGTGCTTTTTCATGTTTACCCATTACGCGATAGACTTCGCTACGTATTTTTAATGCAAATGCATTATTTGGTTCAATTTCTAATGATTTATTCAAATCCGAAACTGACTCTTCATATCTGCACAACAAACTATAAAATTTCACCACGAATTCTTAATGTAAATGCATTATTTGGTTTGATTTCTAATGACTTATTTAAATCTGCAAGTGATTCTTTATATCTGCTCATCATGCGATAAGTTTGTCCACGCATCCTTAATGCACATGCATTGTTTGGTTCAATTTCTAATGATTTATTTAAATCTACAAGTGAATCTTTATGTCTGTTTATTATTTGATAAGTTTGTCCACGAATTCCTAGTGCAAATGCGTTATTTGGTTCAATTTCTAATGATTCATTTAAGTCTGCAAGAGATTCTTTATATCTGCCCATCATGCGATAAGTTTGCCCACGAATTCTTAATGCAAACGCATTATTTGGTTCAATTTCTAATGATTTATTTAAATCTGCAAGTGATTCTTCATATCTGCTCATCAACCGGTAAGTTTCACCACGAGTTCTTAATGCAAGTGCATCATTTGGTTCAATTTCTAATGATTTATTTAAATCTGCAAGTGATTCTTTATATTTTCTCATCACGCAATGAATGGCTCCACGATTACATAGAGCAAGTACATTATTTGGTTCAATTTCTAATGATGTATTTAAGTCTACAAGTGATTCTTTATATCTTCTCATCACACGATAAGTTTCACCACGAATACTGAATGTTTCTGCATTATCTGGTTCAATTTCTAATGATTTACTTAAATCTACAAGTGATCTATTATATCTTCTCATCATACGGCTAGTATCTCCACGAACTCTCAATTCAAATGCATTATCTGGTTTAATTTCTAATGATTTATTAAAATCCTCAAACGATTCTTCAAATTTTTTATATCTGATCATCATGTTATAAGTATTTCCACGAGCTCTTAATGTAAATGCATTGTTTGGTTCAATTTCTAATGATTTATTTAAATCTGCAAGTGATTCTTTATATTTACTCATCCTGCAATAAATTTCTCCACGAGCTCTTAATGCAAATGCATTATTTGGTTTAATCTCTAATAATTTATTTAAATCTGCAAGTGATTCTTTATATTTGCTCATCTTGCAATAAATTTCTCCACGGGCTCTTAATGCAAATGCATTATTTGGTTCAATTTCTAATGATTTATTTAAATCTGTAAGTGATTCTTTATATTTACTAATCCTGCAATAAATTTCTCCACGAGCTCTTAATGCAAGTGTATTATTTGGTTCAATTTCTAATGATTTATTTAAATCTGCAAGCGATTCTTCATACCTATTCATCATGTGATAAATAGCTCCACGGTTACTTAAAGCAAATGCGTCATTTGGTTCAATTTCTAATGATTTATTTAAATCTGTAAGTGATTCTTCAAGTTTATTCATCATGCGATAAATAGCTCCACGAACTTTTAACGTAAATGCATTGCTTGGTTCAACTATTAATGGTTCATTTAAAAACACAAGCGATTCCTTATATCTACACAACATACGATAAATATCTCCAAGGTTACTTAAAGCATATGCATTAGTTGACTCAACCTCTAACGATTTATCTAAATCTGCAAGTGATTCATCATATCTGCCTATCATGCTATAAGTTTCACCGCGCTTTCTTAACGCAATTGCATTGCTTGGTTTTATTTTTGATAATATGTTTAGAGTAGTAAGTGACATTTTATTCATCTTTATCAAAAAAAAATTTATACACACTCTCTTAACGCAAGCATCAGTTTTTTCAGTAGTAATTTAAGTCATCAGGTATTTCTTTGTTACAATGATATAATGAACCTAAGTTGTTGTTCAAGTGTTGTGATCCACTAAATATGTTCTACTTTGAGCATAGTTCTTTTATTTTTAAATAAACCAAAGTAACCCAATTTACGGAATTTATCAATAGTGTGATAAAATAGTGTAGAATTAATTGCAGACCTTATCACTTGAATAAATGATTCCGTCATTTACGAATCAAGTCATGGAGAATAAATATTGATTCTGGAATGATGTAAACAAATCTTACTTTTGATTGGGTAGCATAATGATAGTGCTCATATGTATACTTATTTAACACAGTTATTTACAGTTATTTAATTTACGTAACACATTAATTAATTAATTTAATTAACACATCCCTATGAAAAAAGTTTTACAGAAATTTAAATGAATTATACGGAATATTTGTATAATTCTGTATTACATACGGAATTCGCCGCGGAATATGCATAAGGAATCAATCCATTTATTTATATATTCCATATCATTTCCCAGGGCATATTCTGTATATAAAATACGGAGTTTGCAGCGAATTCCGTATGTAATACACATTTAACATAATAATTATTGACACATTAACACGTTAATTATTATATAACACAATTAATTAATTAACGCACTTAAGTTTGTATCACTCTATTTTCTAAATTTGATCGATTTTTGATCTATTTGCGGTGATACTAGTTTATTTAAGCGAAAAAGACTTAATTGCGTTGTATATAGTCTCTAGCTCATGCTCAGGCTCTTGAGCAGAGCTGTTGAATAATTAGTGAATAAATTAATTGAAAAAAGTAGGCGGTTGTAGTTTTAGGTTTTTCGACATAAATAATAATAACAATTAATTTTTTTTTCCGATCGAGTCGTTTTGTTAGCCCATTGTGGAATACCCTAAATTTGTGTCAAGATGCCACTAATAACATGCTATTGTATATTTATTATACGTAGCACATCTTTAAGTTACAAAATATTATTTCTATAGTATAACAAATATTTGCTAACAATGTCAATTTGAATAAACAAAATATTCCATACGTTTTAAAAACAATATCCGATTTAATACTTATACAGTACTAGCAGCTAATTCTTTAAATATAAATATTATTATCGGAAATAATTTCATTTATAGTTATATATTCAAATGAACTTTGGTTAATATTTCTAATAAATTTGCTAGTATGAATCGTACTATCTTCACTATTATTACCTTCAATATTATTAAATTCATTATCTTTGATCTCCATTTCTTTATCGGATTTTGAAAGTTCTGCCAAAGTTTCAGTACTATTTTTCCATTTTACAATAGTTTCATGAATTTCTATAGCAGTTGGTCGTTTCTCTGGATCTTTATCCCAACATTTTTTCATAATATTTACATAGCATGGTGCTGCTCCTTTAATAATAGTTGGCCTTAAACCTTCTTGAATTTCTATTGCCAATCTTAAATTATCACCTTTATAATCAGAAAATACAACATTTCCTGAAGAAATCTCCCACATTATCATTCCCAAAGAATAAATATCTGCCGCTTTGGTAAATTTTTTCCCTTGCAAAATTTCTGGTGCTATATATGGTAAAACTCCATAAATTCCTCTTGACTCTTTATCTAATGTTTTATTAATCGATGTTGCAAATCCTAAATCACCAATATAAGCGTTATATAAATCATTTTGAAATATATTGCCACTATGCAAATCACAATGAATAATACTATTCGAATGAATTAGTTGAAGATCAAAAGCAACATAAGATAGCAATTCTAATTTTTTCTCCCATTTCATTTGTGCGACATTGCAAAGATTCTTACGTAAAGATCCCATTTCTGCATATTGCATAACTAAAATATATTCACCTGTGCCTTCGTCTTTTGATATTCCGTGGCATTGCAAAAATGTAGGATTTTTAGATCCAATATTTGAATACGCGATTAACTTTAAAATTATAATTGTTAACGTTAATAACTGACCAGTAATTACTAAATTCATAAAACTTTGAGCTATTAAATATTACCTCTTTTATAAGCTCCTCGCAGTTACTTTTTGATCCATAAATCAATTTAAGTGCAACATTTTGATTTAAAATAGCACCATTCGTTCTTATGCGTTTCCAATTAGCGGAATATACAGTTGCGAACCCACCTTTTCCAATTTTTTCTACAAATTCTAATTCATTAGATGGAATCCATGATATTAATAAATTATTGCTAGATAATAATTTTTTTAGAGAATCATCAAAATTTTCAGAATCAACAGCTTTTTGAAAATTATTGCTTTTCGCTTTTTGCAGCCATTCAATAGCCTTTTCCTGGTTAGGCAATGTTCCATAGCCATTTCGATAACATAATCCAACTTTATATTGCCCAGGGTAATATCCATTTTCGGCTGATTTTAAATACCATTCAAATGCCTTCTTTTCATTCTTTATAGTACCTTTGCCATCCTGATAAAATAATGCGAGATTATATTGTGCAGTAGAATTGCCACCTTCAGCAGATGTTAAATACCATTTAAACGCCTTTTTTTTATCCTTGTTTATGCCTATGCCATTTTCATAGCAGAAACCTAGGTAAATTTGTCCACTCGAATCGCCACCTTTAGCAGATTTCAAATACCACTCAAATGCCTTTTTTTCATCCTTGGCTGTGCCTATGCCATTTCTATAACAATTTCCAAGACTAGTTTGTCCATTAGAGCTGCCATTTTTAGCAGATTTCAAATACCACTCAAATGCCTTTTTTTCATCCTTGGCTGTACCTATGCCATCATGATAGCAGGATCCAAGGTTACATTGTCCATTCGAATTGCTATCTTCGGCAGATTTCAAATACCACTCAAATGCCTTTTTTTCATTCTTGGCTGTGCCTATGCCTTTTTCATAGCAGAATCCAAGGTTATTTTGTCCAAGAGAATTGCCATTTTTGGCAGATTTCAAAAACCACTCAAATGTCTTTTTTTCATTCTTGACTGTGCCTATACCTTTTCTACAGCAGAATCCAAGGTTAATTTGTCCATTCGAATTGCCACCTTCGGCAGATTTCAAATACCACTCAAATGCCTTTTTTTCATCCTTGGGTGTCCCTATACCATTTTTATAACAAGTTCCAAGATTATTTTGTCCATCAGAGTTACCATCTTTAGCAGATTCCAAATACGTTTCAAATTCAATCTTTTTATTCATGTAACTTTTGAATCAAAAAATAATAGAATAACAATTTAAGTTTAGAAGGTACGTACGTACGTACTGCAATCACATCTTACTATATATGTGTGTGGCTGAGATGTATTAAGATAGCTCGAGTCTTTGATTTAATGTTTTGTATTCTCTGGAAAGTTTTACTTAGTAGCAGGATCTTATCGAGCGGGAGGCAAGAATCTATTATGTATAGTCACTTAAGGTTTAGTTACCATTGTTGTCTCCAACACGTAGCTTTAATTTCTTTCTTACAAAACATCCTACTTCTTGCTCTTTTTTTTATATTTTGTTTAGACGACTTAAGTATAATGCACAAAAAATAATTTTTTTTCTGCCACTTTCGAATGAATTAGAAAGTTCATTAAATGATAAGATAAACAATTTGATAGTCTACGTTTATGAATATTTACAAAGAAAAAATTTCGAAAAAAAATATTTACTTTATTATAATAATTGATAAATTTTTTTTTCACATATCAAGTCTAAATATAGTATTTCGAGTTTTAAGTTCTATGGGTAAATTATCATGGCGGTTACGCTTGGTTCATCATCTTCCCTTTATCCTATTTTTTCGTAATTTAAAAAATTTAGACTAAGAGTGTGGTGCTTATTTTCAGAAGTTTACAGCAATAATTTTATTATATAGTGAAAATTAATGATTTATTTGATTCTTTTGTTTCTGAACGTATAACTATAAAATAAGTAAATTATAAAGTGCTTAATGAAGTTGCGTAATGCCTGTTGTAAATAATGTTATCATTGATCAAGAGACCTTTCGTATTTTATAGGCCATTTTATTGTATGGTTCAAAGTTAAATATACGCATCTAGAGGTAGAAACTTGGTGATATATGGCTACGTCAAAAAGATGAGCAGTTACGTATGTCTAAGGTGTTATTCTACAGATTCTGTTCACGCCCTAAATTTTAAGATATCTAATTTTGGGTTATATTCTTTTAATTAACATGTATCATTTGAATAGAATCGGCAGCAATGCGTAACAGCGTTGTAGTAATAGCTGACGTTTGTCACAACTAAGTTTTGATCATAACTCTAATATTAGATGTGATGCAGGATGTGATAGACGTGATTTAACTTACTGGCATATTTATATGTTGTAGGTGGATACGGGTTATCTATAGAATCGGAATCCACTTAACTTAAGTGGGAGTTGAATATTATAAATGAATATGCAATCATATATTTTTAATAATAAAGATTAATGTCACGTAAATCAGAGAGCTTATGTTCGCATTTCATACTAATCATATTCGATTAAGTACAAGTAGCATAAGTTTATTCATATGTCCATTATTATTTATTTTGGAAATATCTAATAAAGTATTCAAGAGGATATTTTTTATTTTTACATTTGATTTTCAGTCAGTTTGGTATTTGATAAAATGACTAATTTATTGACTGTAATTATGACTAACTCAGGATTGATCTCTAAGCTTGTATTGTTGTTAATGAGGTACCACGATAATAAGATCATAGTCGCTTTGTGAAATAAAGGTTTAAAGATTTCCCTTCAATATTTATTAACCAAATCGTTATTCAAAATAAAAGGATATTCTTAGATCGATATTAGATTAAAAAAATAAAAAAAAAGATCGCTTTAAATATATTTTGTATTTTTAATACGTTCAAAATTCCGTACCCACTTAAGTTTAAGATCCGAATTCATCTTAAGTGGATTCCGAATCTACGGATATTCTGATCCACATACAACATATATAAATAAGCTATATATATTATCCGCTAAAAATTTTAACTTCAGAAGGCATATCGAAAGTAACGAAGAACTCGGTAATCTCTAAGAAATTTTATAAAATAAATTATATATGTTTATCGAAATCTATTAACAAAAGATAACCTTGCTGATTTGTTAAAAAAAAAATTGTTTAAGATTTTATTATATCTCTTATTAACCTTATGTTTCACATCAAGTAAATATAATATAAAGTATTTAAAATTTATAGTTACTTCAATTCACAATTAACAGCCTATTCTTGACTATATTTTAATAAAAAGATTCATAAAATATAATTTAAAGACTAGGAAAACAGTAAGTCCGGAGCGAAAATGAAGCCTCTAGATCATTCTGAATTCATATCGATCAGGCATTTCTGAAAATGCAAGTCCTCCAGGCCCAACAGATATGAGCATAGTAACGATAGCAACAACAAAAGATGATGTCGCAAGAATTTGAGCCAAAACACTACCACTGCTAATAAGTTCAATTATCGTAAAGGAATTCAATAGCATAAAAAATATAAAAGAATATAGAACGACAATACGAAATTTAGAGAGTGAACCCTTAAAACGAATAATATAAAATGAAATAAGATATATAAATAAAATCGCAAAAAATTTTACTAGAAAACTAGCTCTAGTAAAAACAAATGTTAAAATTGTTAGGGAAGACATTAATGTAAACAACCCCCGGAATAAAACAGTACATTTCTCCTTAGGTACAGTAGGTATCGCAGAATCTCTCCTATAAGTAGGTATCGTAGAATCTCTCCTATAAGTAGGTATCGTAGAATCTCTCCTATATATTTTTGACATTATAAACTTAGGTGTTCTCAAAATAAATCTTGAACTCAATAAAAATATTCTCAAAATAAATTTAAATATTCTATTAAACATTATTCTAAATGAGAATCTCTTATAAATAATTTGAAATACTTCATATTCTTCGATTTCAAATGTCTCTTTATCAATAATTCCATTTTCGTAAGAGTGTTGATTACTTATACCAACAGCAGATCTTTGTGAACTATTATGTTCTATCCACAAATCTCGGTAACCGAAACATGGTCCTCTGGCCATACACCAAGTGATTGCCTTTTCTTTAGAAGAGACACGGCTTAGTCTTGGAATTGCACCATTTGTTAATGTATATAACGAAAATATAAAGCTTTTTGATGTTGTTTTGAATTTATAATTATTATAATCATTAAATGAATAATTATAATATTCCTTTGAATTGTTTTCATACCAATCTAACGGATTATATCCACCAATTATTTCGTTTGAATTTCGGATTTTAATTATAACAACAGTTGGTCCTTTATTATTACAACTCTTATGAAATTTATCAATGTTAAAGTTTTCAAGACTTGCACGATAAATACGTTCAAATTCGAAAGGCATATTTTTAAACCGATAAGGCATTCCTTGTTTTTTATCAATCCAACTTGCTATTAATGCAGCGTCTTTAGCATTGATAATTTTAGAATCAAAAGGATATGCTGATATTCTTTTTGGTAAAGCATCCTGTTTTTTAGGATCTAACCAATATTGATAAGTTTCATCGAGAAGATTATTTGGTAGAATATTTTTATACTGAGTTTCAACTAAACGAAATTCTTTAAATGATAGTTCATGAAATCTAATATGAGGAATACAATTATGTAGAACTTTCTCAAGTTCTTCAAAATCAGTTTGCGTCCATTTAGTTAAATCATTATCTAAAGTAGATTTTGTATTTTTAATTCCCCATCTAACTAGGTATTCCCAAATTTCAATCTCTTGTAGTCTAAGACCATCATATTTTAAAAGTCTAATTAAAATGTCTTCTTTCATTTCTAAGAAATCTTTGGACTCAAAAATAATCTTGGGATTTCTACATACAAGTTCTAATGCAGTTTGATATAAATTAGTGAAAGTGTCGTGTTTACATATTTTAATAAAGTCTTCAGGGAATTTCCAAGCAGATTCAGTTTCAAGCAAGCGTTTTTCAACTTGTTGTCTAGGTTCAAATAATTCAATTTCATCGGCTGCGATAAAAATGTTGAGAAGGCTAACTTCGTCCTTATAAGAAAATGTTCCTGTATAAATGTAGCTATTCATTTTATAAAAATAAATAAGTAATCAATTTAACATAATAGAAACTTAAAATAAACAATTGAATTGGCGTGCGTTTTAAAAATATACGCAAACGTACTTTATAAGAATTTCAAAAACTGATGGTGAAATATTAGGCTTATCAAAAATGATGATTCCATTTTCTTTCATTGCCCATCGTGATGATAATGCAGTTTCAAAGTAAGCTGATCTTGTCGATAAGATAATAGAATGAGCTTTAAATTCTTTAATGTTTGGTTCTTCACCAACTTTAATTTTTACATCAAAACCTTTAGAGCTTTCAAGTAAATTTGAAAAATCTTTGGATAAATTTTGATTAAGTTCGTTATTCATATTTGCAAACGAAAAATAAAGCCAAAAGTTTTTTTTTAACGTATTATTTATAATATTTCCAACCTGATCATTTATTGCATAAAAGGTCACTACGGTTTATAGAAACAATTACTGCATCTGAAACTACTGTAACAGGTCCATTATCTTTTATTTCTTTTAGAATTTTCTTAAATTTTCTATAACGCGACTGTTATAAACATTAACTAGTTAGGTATTGTCCATTGTTGCGGGCGTGAATATGTAACGTACAAATCGAGGGCCATTCTTTTTTCTTTTTTTTTAGAATTCTCTTGTATATTTCTATGTACATTTCTATAATGGATTACGATATAAACTTTAACTAGCTAGGTATTGTTCATTATGTATGCGTCTGTTATGTCTTATGACATAAACATTAACTATATCTGTATATAGTTAGGTATTGTCCATTATGGCAGGCGTGAATCTGCGGCGTACAAATCGACCCAAAAAGTTTGATGGTGCTACGGCTTAAGACATTGTTTCCTATTTAGTTCATTGTTTTTTGTTTTTTATCGCTTACATATAAAAATTTGCTCATATTTTGCAATACAGTTTCTGATCTTATTTTGATTTGGTCTTAATCATCTGTCCATGCAACGAGTGTATAGTTTCTACGGCGTTTCAAGCGTCTGCGTGACCTTATTCATAATTAGGGTTGTTAAACGTTCGTTCAACTCCAGAAGTCGAGTAAGTATCAGACTTAAACTTAAGTAAAAAATCATATGATGAAAGAAGTTTAATTGGTTTAATACAATTCAATGTATGTACTTACGTACGTACGTACAATATATGCTTAACTGTTAAGTATGTACGTACAATATATGCTTAAGTATGTATGTACAATAAATGCTTAAGTATGTATGTACAATAAATGCTTAAGTATGCACATAAATTCCACATTTTAGTATAAATTGAAAACTGCACTTGCTATATATATTCCAATATCATGTGGTTATTGAAGTAGAATTGAAGCCGACTTAAAAGAGCTCGACTCAAACCAACTTAAAAATCGACAAAAACAGAGCTATTTAACATCCCTATTCATAATGCATTATTTATTTTCAGTATCATTTCATTGCGCCTTATACAGTATACAGTATCTGTATATAATTCTCTTACTAATTCCGTGATCTGACTATTACTGCAGATGTGAGTATACAATCAAAGTTTATCTCAGTGATTAGTAATGTTTGATCACATGTCTAAATATATTATTCACTGGATCTTTAGTACGTATGTACGGTTCATTTTTTTTGTAGGATTTTTAAAAAATTGCTCATCCCCTGTAATTTTGACCAATCGAATTTCAAAATCATGTAAAATTTTACAAAAAAAAAAAAAAGAAAAACAAGAATATAACCCTAAATTTTATTAGAAGACCACCTGTTGCGGCCTAATTAAAAATGTTCCTCGTGAAATTTTATTAATCGCCCTACATTGTTCTAACCTAACCCTCAACTTTTAATTTTATACAGACTTTTTTTACTTGAAAAAAAAAATTTTTTTGACTTTTGACTGTCACGTTCACCTAGCCCCAAGTTTTGATTATATATATTGATACTACACAAATTAATAGTCCTAAAGAGATAATACAAGTAAAACCGTGAATAAGACAAACAAAAGCGAGATATAAATTATACATTTTCTAAAGGAATTAACAGCCAAAAATCATATGACTTTTTTATAAGATATCATCAATAATTTCGATTTATCGGATCCTATTGATTATTTTATGCATATCAATAAGTCATTAAATCAGGCAAAGAATTGTACATTACTTCTCTCACCGTTTAAATATACATTTCGTTGAACTCCGTTCTTGGTATTTAACGTTTTCGGTTTGGTTTTTGGGTTGTATTTTGTCTTGTGTTGATTTATGTTTATGTTGTAACTTGAGAAAATCCATTCATACAAACCAATTAAAATGATAAGAAGAGTTAGGAATTAATCCATAAAATTGCAGGTGCAACGATTAAACAAAGTAATTCTGAACAAAATTTAGCTGTTCCTTTTTTACCCTGCCCTAAAATTCTTTCTAAAAATTTTCACAATCAATTAATAATACTTTTACGTTAATATAATGATAAAGGCTATACAAGTCGGTGCTAATACAAAAAAAGATGTTAAGTTAACATACGCTTAGTTTCGACAACATTAGGTTTCAATAATTTCGATTTGCAGGGAGAATAAAAAAGACTAAGCTTGTAACAAAGGTTAATAAATTCATAATGATCTCGACTAGTAAACTGATTTGTATCTTTTCAATTGACATACTCATTCTTAATGCTGACTCATTATCTATCATTCCAAAGTTTTCTTATTTTATTGCAAGTTTGCAAAAAGCTGCGACCCTTGATTTTTAATATGATATACAGTAGTAGAAAAAATCAGAATTATTCAATCGGTGATATCGATAAATTACTTGAAATAAATAAAGGTGAAATTATCAAAAAAATTGAAAAACCTAGAGTATTTGATTTCCACGACATCATGGATCATTTTTCTGATGAGAAATATTTAACAAGTTCTCATTGTTGTTCATAAGCTCCAATATTCGATAAAATATACTTAATCAAATAAGCTGTTTCTGCCCAAAAAGAGAACCGCTAAAGCCATATTTGATCACAAATTTAATTATATTAAGGTTAGGGTCAGATTGGTCAGATTAGAGTCCGTATGGGCTAAGGTTATATGAGCTTTATAGGTAAAATCGTCCGCCACGGATCCCCAAAAGGTTTGCTAAAACCTGGGTGCATTATTATAATAATTAACCAATCACAAAGTGACTTAAAAATCTTATTATTCATATCCGCGGATATTAAGAATTACTATTTAAATTTTCTAAATCTTTAACTATAAATAACTTTTGATTCGCTGGTCCGTTTTGGATGATTTTACTATTAAAATGACCGTGTCAATGATGAGCTCAAAACCGTTAAAATCCAATAATAGGATCCCAAGAGAGTTAAGGATTTGTCACTTCGGACATTTTAGGATTGATTAAGCAATCCTAAAACACCCGAAATGACACAAATCCTTAATGATCTCGAGATTTTGGGCTCGTTAGAATCGTCTCATCGAGGCGGTCATTTTGATGGTAAAATCATCTAAAACCGACCAGTGAATCAAAATTTATTTATGGTTAAAAATTTTGAAAATTTTAAATAGTGATTCCAAATATTTGCGAATATGTATGCCATAATATTATGCTTTAATGGATATAATAATGAGGATAGAATATACACATGTTATAGTATTAATAGCTAGTCAGTATTCAAAATGATCAAAATGTAAATACTGTCTAAATGAATTAACAGATAATTAACGTGTTATTTGTCTTATAATTATCTATACCATTTTTAAATCCCGTATTTACTCATTGTTATACTGTAATGATTTAAGATCATTTTTAAACATAAAAAAATAAAAACGAACGAATATGTATTGTATGCTCAGTAACTTCCAAAAGTTTACCGTTATCATTACACAAAAATAGAATTTAAGGATATTTAGATTTGTCATGTTTGGTAGATATAATTTTATTATACCATCGAAGCTATATCGTTAGCTTTGTTATTTGTCATGTTTTACGTGTAACAGTAATGAATTTTGGACACTACTGCAGATCAAAATAAACTCAAGTATCCAAAAATTTTATAATCACTAATAGTTTTATTTATAAATAATATTGATACATAAAGCAAAGGAAATGATAAATTATGAAATGTCATTTCTTAAAAGAACTTTTTAATTTGTATAAAAAGTATTTACATCCAATCTATTCTATTCATATTTCAATACGAAGATATTTAATAGAAAATATTGTAAATCTCAATTAATCTATTACAAACCATCAATTTCGGTTTTGATAGGATTAAAGTGGAATATGATCTGTGTCAATTCTTTCAGGTAATACATGATGAAATAAAAGGGCTCTAATATCAATTTGGCTATCTTTTTCAAATATGCAGATATAGAGTAAGTACCCATGGGCTTATATCCTTCTAAAGATAATCGTGTGTGTTCCTCTTCAATCGCCTGCAATTCTTTATGAAATTCATTATTATAAGCATCCGTGGATTTATATCCAGGTTGTTTCTTTGCTAAAGAAACTTGCGCATGTCGTTCTTCAAGGGTTTTAGCTGCTTTTTTCAAATATATCATGCCTTCCGCTGTTACGTGTAGTTTTTGTTGAATTTGTTTTACTTCTTCTTCGACAACTTGTATATTGCGACGATACGCTTTTAAAAAGTTTTCGAAATTTTGAAGATCTGGTGTTATATCTTTCAGCTTTTTAATTATAAGTCGAATCTCTGCAAGTTCGCTCATTAATTGCTTTCGCGCTGGAAAATCAACAATATTACCTATCGAGTGTTCTTTTAAGGCTTGACCGGCCTCATGTTCTCCATAAGTCAGATACTCTTGCGCATTATCCGCAATATTTTGTACTGAATATATAGAGGTAAGAACTCGGCGAAGTTGCTCCAGAAGTCCAGGTATCTCATTTTCTATCTTTTCGAGTCGCTTATGAATAAAGTCTGTCAAACTTGATTTAATAAAATATTCGATAATGATTGATATCCATGATTGTTCTAATTCTTGAGCGATCGATTTCATCTCATTTGTAAGTAAAAAGAGAAACTCTTCCACCTTATCTCGAAACTCTTCGATCTTATCGGTTGCCTCTTGTATTCCTTCATTTAATTCTGAGAGTACTTCTAAAATTTGCTTTTTATTTTTAACTATATTTTTACTTGTTTTTATTTTCACATTAAGTTCTCGCATTTTGACACGATAATAACTCATTACACTTGTTTCTGAATAAATATTAAAAATATAGATTAAATAATTATATAATCTATGTGTTCATTAAACAAATATATATATATACCTGGAATTTTAAGTGATGATAATTCTTCTGATCCAGAGTCAGTTAAATTTATAATATTTTGAAATACAAGATCTCCATTTTGAGAAGTTTGACCGAATTGCTCCTAATAAATAATATTCAAATTATAATTCAGATTTTAATTTTTAAACAAAATATTATATTTATATTCAATAATTTATCCTTACTTTAAGATCGATATCAGATATTAGAAAGTTAATTAAACCCATTACTAGAAAGGCAATTAAACATATTCCTAATATTTTAAATATTTTTTTTACATTAACTTCATTAAATATCTTAAATATTAGCAAAGTAGTTAAACATATTCCTATTACTATTCCTAATATTTTAAATATTGATGAAAATGAAAATATCTTATCCCGGAAACTTTCAGGTGCTTTATTATTCTCATCAGTCAACTTCACTTCAGATGTCGTGTCATTTAAAACGGGTCGTCGCTGTCGAATTGTTGAGGAAGCTATAATGATATATTTCAGCGATAATTAAAAAATAAAAAGCATTAATAAAATATTTATTAGAAACGTAATACTCGAATTTAATAGTAATGCCTTCACTAGAACTTTATAAGAATATGTCTGTTCTAGTTTAATAGCGTTCAAATGTTCATTTAAAAAAAAATTCTATGTAGTTTTCTATGATTTACATTTCAAACTCTATGATAATAATTAAAGAATTAAACAACAGTGGTGAATTCTTACCAGGATCTTTCTGCTGTGAATTAACTACATCCAAAGGATCATTATTTAAATCTTGCTCAGCGTTAGGATTATTGTTATCACAGATAGACTTTAAATCTTGCTCAGCGTTAGGATTATTGTTATCACAGATAGACTTTGAATTTTGCTCAGCGTTGAAATGATCGTTAACAGTACAATTGTCAGCAGTAGAAATCGAATCTTGTTTAGAATTAGAACTATCGGTTCTGGTATTAGTACTGCCGTTACTAGCAGTAAATTTTGAATCTTGCACAGAGTTTTTAATAATAATAGACTTCGTGCTTTCATTAGAATTACTAGTAGAGGCAACAGGATTCACAACAGGGTTATTATTATTGCCGGTTGTTGAAATTTCATTAGAATCACTGTTAACGACAGGGCTATTTTGATCATGATCAGATTTATTTTCGGTTGCCACATTATCGTTGGTAGTATTAAGAACTGAATCGTGTTTAGAATTGTTGACAATAGTAGAATTTTCATTAGAATTACTGGCAGCAGCAATATGATCTAATTCTTTAACAACAACAGGGTTGCTGTCGATAGTTGAAATTTCATTAGAATCACAGTTAACAGTAGAGCTATTTTGATAATGATCAGATTTATTTTCAGTTGCCACATTATCGTTGGTAGTATTAAGAACTGAATCGTGCATAGAATTGTTGACAATAATGGAATTTTCATTGGAATTACTGATAGCAGCAATATGATCTAATTCTTTAACGACAACAGGATCATTAGAATCACATTTAACGTCAGGGCTATTTTGATCATGATCAGATTTATTATCGGTTGCCACATTATCGTTGGTAGTATTAAGAACTGAATCAAGTTTAGAATTGTTGACAATAGTAGAATTTTCATTAGAATTACTGGCAGCAGCAACATGATCTAATTCTTTAACAACAACAGGGTTGCTGCCGATAGTTGAAATTTCATTAGAATCACAGTTAACAGTAGAGCTATTTTGATAATGATCAGATTTATTTTCAGTTGCCACATTATCGTTGGTAGTATTAAGAACTGAATCGTGCATAGAATTGTTGACAATAATGGAATTTTCATTGGAATTACTGATAGCAGCAATATGATCTAATTCTTTAACGACAACAGGATCATTAGAATCACATTTAACGTCAGGGCTATTTTGATCATGATCAGATTTATTATCGGTTGCCACATTATCGTTGGTAGTATTAAGAACTGAATCGTGCTCAGAATTGTTGACAATAGTAGAATTTTCATAATTATTGGTAGCAGTAATATGATCTAATTCTTTGACAACAACAAGGTTACTGCCGATAGTTGAAATTTCATCAGAATTGCTGTTGACTGCAGGGCTATTTTGATCATGATCAGATTTAACATTAGTTGTCTTCATTCTTTTGCGAGTCTTTAAAAGTTTAACAATTTATTTTTTGCTTTTAATATTAGTCGTCAATCTGTCCCTGTATCGTTGGAAAATGAAATTTTACGTATCAATTTTTATTTGATTTTTTTTTTTCTTTGTTAACAATTCATTAACATTATAGCGCTTTGCAAAAAGATGTGACCCTATGATTTTTATGATGATGAAAGAGGAAAATTTCCGAGATTCTAAATTGTCTATTAATTCATATTTTTGATCAGTTATATTTATATTTATTTGAAATCGATAAGATTCTTAAAATCTACAGAATCTCTGATTTTCACACGACATTGTGATCTGCAGAGGTCACATCTTTTTGCAAAGCGCAATAATAAAAGTCCGATATTAGATTATGTATGAAAATCTCGAAAGATTCTGTAGAAATCACATTCCAATTGTAAACTAGTTCCCGCAGAATCTGCATTCCTATTTAAGCTTTGGCGAAAATGGAAATATGAATCGGGAACAGTATTTGATAAATCAAGGCACAATGAAGAGATGAGCAATTGGGTTGACTAAAATGATCACTAATTACCAATCAATAAAGGTGCATACATTAGAATGTAAAAATAAATGTGGCATAAATTTTATACGCTGCGAGAGTATCCATCGTAGATTTGAATATTTTTTTTACAAGGCACCCCAAAATTTTGGATCTAATTTATCGGAGCAGGGCCAGCATTAAACAATACCAACCATGTCTATAGCAAAATTATCAATTGGGCATTTTTACTTAGTGGATTCCAATGTGGATCTTTCTGTATGTCAGGAATGTATATGGCATTTGAAATGTTCTTCGTCTATAAAATCTTATACATTGTTGGCTAATGGTGTGGCAAGGTAATATAAAATTTTGTGCGATTAAATTTAAATTCAAGTTTTACGTTCGTACATAGAATCGATCCTGATTGGATTAGTAATCGAATGATTTTCATCGTAGTGGCATTTCGAATCTTTTAACGGGATGACAAATTGTTAAAGAACGAAGACTAAACAGGGGTGTTTGCTGATCAATTCTAAACATTTTAGTAAAATTACGCCAAATTTTTATTCACACGCAAAAATTAATGAATAAATTTTTATGCAAGGTGATTCTGAAATTGCGTTTTTGATGCAATTATGTAGGTTTTTATATATAAAAATCAAGAAAGCAATTTATGCAGCATGTAGATCATATATTGAATCATTCCGCTTTAGCTGACCTCAATAAAGGTTACTTTTTTGATGAGCCTACATAAAATTATGAAGATCATATCAAAAACGCAACTTGGAAATTTTTATCTGTCCGCACGCGTGTTTAAATTTGTAATTTAGTGTGACAAAAACACACGCGTTTGTGCAATGAGATGATATCGTATAATACATATACTCCGGATACGCATTTTCATAGTAACTTATATTCCAGGTTCTATTTTTACAGAATATTAACAATGGTAACATGCATGATTCATGAGATTCATGATCGCACTAATTCGAAAACAACGATAACCAAAGTTTATAAAAAAAAAATAAAAAAAAATTATAAAATGTTGGTATAAAATTTGAGTGAAGCTATCTCAATAACTACCAAGTCAAATTTAATAAACTTTTTTTATTTGAATTATACAATTCATAAGATTCAAATGAAAAAAAGTTCATCGAGTTGATTTGGTGGTTGTCAAGATATCTTCGTTCAAATTTTCAAAAATTTTTTAATTTACAGGGGTGTGTATTAGATGGATTCACCCCATTTTACCAACACCCATTTAACCGACATCACACGGGTAACAATTTACTATTGGTATATATATGCGACTAATAAAATACTATCCCTAACCCCATGTGATGTCAGTTAAATGGGTTGTAGGTAAAATGGGTCGAGAAAATAAGATCCACCCTTTTAGATTTCCAAATTTTCAGACTTCCTGTGATGTGTGATGTATGAAATTTGATGATCACAGTAATTTGAAAAGCGCGATAAAATAAAGTTCGTGAGAAAAAAAATAAAATAAAATCACATAACTCTGATACAACAATACAGACAATACAGTATATGCACGTTCATTTGTACGTACTTTACGTCTTTATTCGTTATGCACATATACGTATGCATATGTCACCCGTTACTAATATATTAATTGTGCCGTCATCACGGAGAAGGATTATTCAACACCGTTATCCCCAGCTCTGCCTTATATAAGGACTTCCCTGCATCACTAACACTGTATTCGCACTTTAGCAACAAATATTTGCAGCACACTTGCGAAATTATATAAATAAACGGAATTATAGATACTCCACACCGTACACAACCACATAATTATTTCACCTTTTTGCTCAAAAAGAACGTATTAATAGATTATATTAATAAGCTTATTGAGTGTTAGCATAATTCTAAAAAAATGACTTCTCAAATGATTTCTCAAATTGAAACGTTTTTTCTCAATATAGAAAATTTAATAGAACTTAAACTAAAAGATAATACTCAGAACCAGTCCGAGATTGAAGAAAAGTTTAATGAAGGAAAGGTTTTAATTGATAAATTGGAAGGAATCAGTGAGGAACAACATGGATTATTCAGGCATACATATCATATAACCTATGCTAGCTATTTAAAAACTGTTGGTGAAATAGACAATGCTAATATACAAGAAAGATTAGCAAAAAAATATGAAGAATATACAAAAAAATCCGAAAGAATTGATAACTACAAAACAAAAACAATGTTATTTGCGGAGCTCCCCTCGGATACTAATGACCAAGATTTAAGTCGTGATGAAATCTCTATACAAGAAGCCGTAAATGAGCAATTAGAAAAGATTCAAAGCATTCTAGAAGATAAATTCATTGAATCTATCCGAGAAAATTTTAAAATCTTAACTAAGAATCCCAAAATATTCGAGGGTTATCAAGAAGTTGTAAATTGTGAAGCTAACGTGCATAAGTTAGCAAACGGTATAATTGATGAGGGATTAATACGTCTGAATGAGTCTCAGGCTTCATCGCCGCAAAATTCAACTATAAATCTAAACAAAAAGAAATCTGAACAATTGGTTAATGTTTTGAACCTTTTAAAATCTTTAGCCAGTGAAGCAGCTTATTTGAAGAGAAAATCCTTTATATTATATTTATTGAATTCTCCAGATAAAATAAAAATCCTGTTTAGCAATGTTATATTTACAGAAGAAGGAATTAGTAAACGCACTAGAGAACTCTCTTTGCATTTCCACCCTGATAGAGCAGTATATCCTAATACACCAAATTGGCTTCGAGACGAAGATAAATATCTAGGCGTTGAGCTATTTAGATATGTTATGGAGTTTAAAGATAAATTGTTGGCTGACTTGGAAAATATCTCAAAAAACGAAGGCTACTTGATTTTTCATGAGCAAAAGGCGAACGAGCTTTGGAAAACATCGATTGATTACAGAAATGCAGCTAAAAGTGAATGGGATAAACTAAAGCTAGTTAAAAAAAATGATATTGAAGAGCTTAACCCTGAAGAACTGAAGAATCTTAGCGTGGCCACTGGAAAATTAGCATATCAGGAATATAGGGCAGCTTGCCAAATTGCAGATAAGACTAAACAACTACAAAAACAAGTAAAGCTACGAGGATATATGGCATTATGCTTATATATTTCTAACGAAGCATTAGAATCCCAATTATATGCTCTATCGGCAATTTATTTGCAGCTTCAGAATTCTGACAAGGTCGCGCAGTATGAACTGGCTGAAGCAAAAAAAATATTCGATAAAGTTAAAGGCGGCAATTTTAACGAAAGGAATAATTCTAATAATACGTTGACCGTAATAAAAACAGAGGATCAAAATATTCCTTATACTGAGAAAAAGAAAGCTCAAAATTTGATTAGCACCGATATAGCAAAAATATGCACAGAATTAATGCTTAAAGCAGATCGCAGTCTAGTTCGTTATAAAGCATCTGAAGAAGAGATCTTGAAAGCCAAAAATCATGCTTTCAAGCACAAATTAGCAGGAACAATTACTTTGGGAGCTACTGGTTTTACTATTTGCGAGGCTGTCGTTGTAATTGGAATTGGCACAGCATTAATTAATCCAGTTTTGTTATTACTAACTGGCATAGCACTACATAGCGGCATAGCCATGGTGAAAAAAGGTGCAGATTTGCTAAAAGAACCAGAAATTCGTGAAAAGCTCAACAAAATTATGGATACAGCACTAAAAGCTTACGACGGAGGAGAATATCAGAAGTTTTTCGATGAACTTTCTAAGGAATATGAAAAAGGAGTTAGTCTTATAAAATTGGAAAAGCAAGATGATGTTATTAATCCTAAAGATATAATTAAAACGCTTATAAGCCATGGTTTTAGATCAGATGGCATAGCCTATCTTTTAAATTTAATAGGAGAAGCCTTGAGTAGCGGAAATATCTGTGTTGAAGGAAGAACTAAAAAAGAGTTAATGGCCCTAGCGAAAACTGTCTTTAAAGGGGTATTGAATGAAAAACTTATTAAAGAGGCCAAAAATTTGGATGACCGCATTCATGAATTACGAAAAATACACAGAAAGGTCTACATAAGCTATGTTAAAAGTACTTTTGATAGAATTAGCGATTTTATTTTGTTTAAAGAATATACTGACCTGGCAAAAGAACATCAAAATGATGCTCAAGAAATGCCATTTCAAGCAAGATTAGAAGAAATGAGTAATATCGCAAGGATCAATCTTGCAATCATCGATATATTAGATGCCGGTTTAGAAGAAATTTCCCGAGCGACCAAAACAATTAAGGAAGTTCAAAATTCGATAAAATGTAATTATCAGTTTGTTGGTATGGCTAAATCTCGCCTAGAGGTCTTGGAAGATCTCTTATGGGTTATCGGAGGTTGTAAATTGCCAGAAGAATTACCCGAGAACGAGTTAGAACTAATCACATATTCAACAGAAGAGACTCCAGATGTAAATGACGAATATTTTCGATATCTTACTGAAAAACTACAACATGCATCTTCTGACAAGGAAAAATTAAACCTGTATACACAATTTGCGGTTCATTATGAGAAAATGGCCGAAAAAGATGATAAGCTCGATAAATTGAGCAGTTTATTTCATTGGCAATCTGCTCAAAATAATTATAGGGAAGCTCTTGCAATAGATTCTCACAATCAAGATTTGCATCTCAGTTATGCAAAATGCTTGCTGAAATTGTCTAAATACACCCAAGTAATTGATCTTTCCAATGAAAACACTGCTTTGAATTCATTATCGGAATATTGGTGTTTTCTTAGTATTGCACACTGTAAGAAAGCTTATTACGAACGAGCTAATGTTTGCATTAATGAGGCATTGAGTTTAGATTCTAAAAATATATTAGCTGGAAACCAGAAGAAACTTCTCAAAAAATTTATGCAAGAAAATAAAATTAAAAATCTTATTGATCATTATGTAAACGAAAAAAAGGCCATAAAATACGAAGTAAAGAATTCGTATAGTAATGAAAGTCCTGCTTATAATATCCTATCAATTGATGGTGGAGGTATACGTGGGATATTACCTGCTTTATGGCTCAGTGAGATAGAATGTCGTACCCATAAACCCATCTCTTATTTATTTAATATGATAGCTGGAACATCAACTGGTGGAATAATTGCGACTGGACTATCGGCTCCGTGGTTTGACACTTATGATGAAGAAATGTTTATTAGTAACGATCCCGCAATGGGTGTATCTAGGCTATTGTATGATTATTCGCGGCCGAGATTCTTAGCTTCGGATTTATTGAATATTTATAAGAATGAAGCAGAAAGTTTATTCAGTAAAAAATGGAAATGGGACATCTTTAATATGCAAATAATAAAAGAGAAGTATACGAACCACGGTCGCTCTGCACTTTTTAATGAAAAGTTTAAAGAAACACGGTTAGACAAAGTACTTACCGAATTGGTTATTCCTGCAGCAAACGAAACAAATTTAACAAAAACACATTTATTTACGCGTTATAATGCTCTTAAAAACCCAACAGAAAATGTCACGTTGGTTGATGCTTTAATGGCAACAACAGCTGCACCCACCTTTTTTCCACCTCACAAGATAAATAATAAGGGTGTCTTTTTGGATGGAGGAATACATCTTAATAATCCAGCATTTGAAGCCTATAGTGAAGCTATTAATTATAAGGTAGATAACAAAAAGATTTCAGTGCTTTCTCTGGGCACAGGAAGCTATATACCAGATCCTTTCAGTCCTGAGAAGTATCGAGGTCAACTATTTTGGGCACAGAATCTCCATAATACTATAATGCACGCACAAGAAGGCAATACTGATCGCCAAATGTATACTATGTTAGGAAATCGCTATCAGCGATGGCAACTCTGGTTTGAAAATCCGATAAGATTAGATGATTTGAATAGCATTCCTTATCTTTTAGAAATGGGCTATCAATATATAGAAGAACTCGATTACTCTGACGAGAATCCTATTAACAAATTAGTAGAGTTATTACTATTGAAATGAAAATAAATAGATAATTTTTATATATTGTTAAGTGTTAAAATTTTTTAGCAGTTGTTATTGCCATAGTGATGAATATATACACAATAACTATATATTATCTCAGGTTATCTTGATAATAATTCCGATCAATATGGCTTTTCATACCACTAAATAGCTATTATTAAAATCTCAGTTCGATACATACATTTTAGTTTGCACTTTTTGTTTATCCCGATAATAATTCTGATCGATAAGGCTTTTATACCACTAAATTGCTATCGTCAAGCAATTTTCAATTCGTCACGACAAATTCTTTCGCTCAGCTTCGCAAATAGAATCTTTATTATTTGTCGCACTTTTTTTTTATACCACTAAATTGCTATCATCAATTCGTTACGGCAAAATCTTTAGTTGTGCTTGGCTAATAAGCATCTTTACTATTTGTCGCACTTTTGTTACTGCAATACACCCTATACCTTTTTTGAGTCATTTTTTTTTTTTCTTGCGTTTAGGGACTTACGGTATCTACATTAACAAGCCTTTTTTTCGGAATCTCTTCTAAGTTTATATATTTTTTTTCAGATTTACATTTACATTATATATTTTGTAACGCTAAAACGGCGTATTTAAACGACTTCTTTCGAAGACAGCTATATACTGTATTATAAATAAGTGATACATTGATTATTAAATAAAAATTAAGAAATATTATAAATAAGAGCATGGTGGACAATCCTCGTAGCACAAACTTTCCACGCTGACTCAGGGTCGATCTGTCCAATAAAAGTATGATATTTACCGATCACATGCACGATTTTTAATCAGTTTATAATAATTCGAAAGATTTTTATTTACTAGATCAAGGATATCTCACGATCCAGTGGTCAGAATTTTATGAAGCTTATACCATTTGATTCATTTTATTGAGACGAATCTTATGGCATAAATATTATTAAATTCTACCTATAAAAGCCTAAGATATCTTCGATCTTTTATAAAATTTGGTTCTAATATAACTCATTAAATATTGGGATTATTTTGAATCAATTTTAATAAAACGTAGGTTTTTATGAGCTTTTTTGCTACTTTGTTTCTTTAATGTATTTAATTGGTAGGTTTTGAAAGATCACCAAAATAAAAAGTACTTTAATGCATATAAAAAGTTAGAAAATTTTTTATTCAATTATGCCTATCATCACCAAATTCGGATTTGTCCACCATGCTATAAATAAGAGTATACTGTAATATTAAGGTTTGATTTCTACACAAGTACGATGTATGTAAGGATGTTAATCAGTCGCGCAGCAATTGTCAACAAACTTTAAGCAGGATTTGTAAAAAATCGGGGTATTCATCCAATAAATTATAGAAAAGTCATTTTTCTGCAACATTTTCTAATACAGTAGAAGTTTAAGGATTGAACCTAGGTGCCGCACAAAAATGCGCGGCAGATCCTCGATATTGATTGGCTAACGGCCGAGGATCTTCAAAATTTTGGTCCGCATTACATAATTGTTTACTAATCTCCGGCCGGAATTACAAAAAAAAGAAATTTTTTAAAAATAAGCCCGTGTTATGACAAACTTGACCCAAGAACAATTTTCATTTAATGGGCGGCTGTGATTTTGTTAGTAAAGTTAGGAGTAATTTCGGCCAAATTTTTTGATCGTTGCTCTCAGCCAATCAAAATCGAGGATCTGCCGCGCATTTTTGTGCGGCACCTAGGTTCAATCCAATTAGGACTGAACAATGTGAAGAAAATTTAGCTAATCAGTCCCTAATCGGTCCCATCTAAATTACTTACAAATCTATGCAAAACCCGATAAACTTCTATTAGAAAATGTTACTTATTGGACGAATACCAGTTAAAATTCAAAGTCGACAGGCAATTATTGCGGGGCCGATTAATATTTAATAGTTATTTGCTGTATGCTATTTGATTAGTCGATTTAAGCACTGAAGGTGCTTAAAATTCACCAGTCAAATCATATGGCAAATAACGGTAAGGTACAATAGTGTTCTAATACTAGTAAAGCGCGATAGCGCTTTACTAGTATTGGAACAACTATTGTACCGTAGTTATGAGTACTTCGTGCTTGAATAACTGGTTTATTCGAATAAATTGGTTTATGCGTTAATCAATGTTATTACATTATTACTAATAAGCCAATGGGAATTTATAGTTTGATAATATCGTAACATGACTAGTGTGCACGAAATTATGGAATCATGCGCATGATTTTTTATATATTACATATAATGCTGTCAAAGTGATATAATGCTGGTATAAACTTATAATGCCAGCAAAATTTTTATAGATTCCGAAATATTACGAAAGCTAATAAGAAATTCCGAAAATTCACATACGCATAATGCGCATGAAACTTGAAAAAATCAGAATTTGCACAACATTAATTTTTCATGCAGATGATGGATGTTATATCAGAAACGCAAACTTTAATGATTTACAAATGACCAATCAAAATAGCGAAATATACAAACTCTGAATTAGGTTATATAGATAGATATACTCAGTGATATCTAATATCATTCCATTCCTGATACGTACGTACGTAGATTTCTGCCTGTGATACCAACTACGATTCTAAATTTGGTTCAGAACTTTGGAACTTTCCAACGTAAGTCGTGAAAGGTCACAAAACTTTATCCAAAGGACATAGTTGTGAACAAAGAATTATTTATAAAATAAATTCCCATTTTTGTAATATATCTGATATGAATGTAAGTTTCTGTACTAATATTTTGATGTACGTACGTACGTACGTACGACGTACGATACAGATTATGGATTTTGATTGGTTATCAGATAAAACAATTATGTACCGAAAATAATCTTCCAAAATGGTTTCTATTTACCCAGTCCTATTTTCAACAATTTCTTTATTTCTTGGTATATTATTTTTATTCAAAGGGATTAATTTCTCGCACAAAGGCATAATCAAAAAATTTTAACTGTTTCTGTTTACACAACCAATTCATTGAGTAGAATATGCAAGTGGTCAGATTGTTATCAATAATCTACAGATTATAATTATGAAAATGCAGCAATTAATGTTCTTGGGTATTGCTATGAAAATGGAATAGGAGTTAAAAAAAACAAATTTGCGGCATTTAATCATTATAAAAAATCTGCTGACATGGGAAATTCTACTGCAATGTACAATCTTGCAAGATGTTATCTATGCGGAATAGGAGTTGAAAAGGATAGACTTAAGGCATTTATTAATTATAAAAAATCAGCTGACATGGGACATGCTATCGGAATGTATGGACTTGGTAATTGTTATTATTTTGGTATAGGTGTTGCGAAGGATGAAAATGAGGCATTCATTTATTATCAAAAGTCCGCAGAAATGGGAATCACTGAAAATGAATTTAATTATGGTTCTCAGCATGAACGAAATGCTATTGCCAATTATAAAAAATTCGCAGAGATAATAAATGCTACTGCATTATATAAAATTGGATGCCGTTATCAAGATGGAATTGGGGTTGAAAAGGATAATGATAAGGCATTTGTCTATTATAAAAAATCAGCCAAAATGGGAAATGCTAACGGTATTTATGGACTTGGTTATTGTTATGAAAATGGAGTAGGGGTTGAGAAGAATGAAAATACTGCATTTAATCATTATCTAAAATCTGCAGATATGGGTAATTCTAATGGAATGACTAAAGTTGGTTATTGTTATCGAAATGGAATTGGAACACAAAGCGACTTAAATAAAGCCGATTATTGGTATAGAAAGTAAATAAATATTATTATCTTGTTTTTTTTTAAAAAAAAAAATTCCAATCCTTATAATATATACTTTTAAATAACTAGAGCAGAAAATACAATATTGGGTAATTTAAATTATTATTAATTTATTCGATTTATTATTGAGGAAATTTGAGATTTATTAATCTGTTTTTAGTCACCAATGAATGGATAAATGAGAATATTAATATTGATAATGACATAAAAGAATTATTGGATAAACAAACATATCCGATATCATGGATTTCTTATGAAGAATTTGAGAATCTTGAAGATATAGGACACGGTGGATTTGCAAAAGTGTATCGTGCAAGATGGTTAAACAAAAAACAAGATATCCACGAAAATGTTGCACTTAAATTACTTCACGGTTCAAAATCTTTTAACGAAATATTCATTAAAGAGGTGATGTGACTTCTACTGTATTCTTATGCGTGCTATTTTTTTTTTACTGACTTTAAGATTTTGACTATTCTGTTTTTTAAAGTTAAAAGCATACTGTGATATTATGCGTAAACATCCGTCATTTTTAAAATGCCATGGAATATCAAAAGACGCTTTTTCTGGAGATTATATTATTGTTTTAAGGTATGCAGAAATGGGTTCTTTACGTCAAAATCTTAACAAAGTAGCAACAATGAAATGGGAAGATAAACTAGCCTTATTGCTTATCATTGCTTCGGATCTACAAATAATTCATTCACTAAATCTTATTCATCGAGATTTACATAGTGGTAATATTTTACTAGACAATCCACACAGCGCATACATTGCAGATTTAGGACTTTCAATATCAACAAATATAGCGTTAAATAAAGAAAAACATGCAGTTTTTGGAATTTTGCCTTATATTGCACCAGAAGCTATTAAAGAAAGGAAATATACAATGGCATCAGATATTTATTCATTTGGAATAATTATGTGGGAAATTCTATATGGAATTCCTATATATTACGATCAAAAATTTGATATATAACTTCAAATACAAATATGCTGTAATGATTTAAGGCCAACTATTACTGGGGAAACTCCAAATTGCTATATAAATCTAATGAAAATGTGCTGGGAAAAAGAACCAAAAAATCGTCCATCAGCAAAAGAACTTTGTAAAATCTTTACAGAATGGAAAAATGATAAAGAAATTTTATTGGAATTAAATGAATCAAAAAATATATCAAAAAATACACATATACAATCATGTTCCGAATTAATTTATGAAAATAAATATACTACATCATATTATCAAGGTAACTATTATTTTTATAAATTTTGAAATTAATTATAACGCTATAACCAGTCGATAGAATAGTGGTGGCAGGAAAATTCGCGATCAGGAGATCACCAGCAGTTTAAATCATGATATTGGTATATATTAATCAAATAATTGTTAATTAATATACTGTTAATTAGAAATGGGATCCTTTAAAAATTTGTTATGGTTATTCACTAAATATTTACGGGCTTTAGACATCCATGAGTAGTATTAAATGAATATCCAAATTTTACATGAATACTTAAAATGACCAAATATTCACGACGACTATTCAAGAATTTCGTGTAATTAATATTCATCGAACATTCACGAATTTGTGTAACAGAATATTCATTTATAAACGTGGATATTCACGGATCCCATCTCTACTATTAATAATTTTATTATATATATCAGATATTTGGTTCATGCAAAAATGCTTGACGACAAATTTTGTGTATCTGAAGGGGTTCAGAAATGTCGGCGATCACCTGATCGCGAATTTTTTCTGCCACCACATTTCTACCTATAACCAGTTTATGGTGATTATCGGTCGAGTGATGCTCGGTAAACAGTCAAAAATCTCTTTTATAAATAAACAAAAACTTTTATCACGGACATCTAAATTTATTAGAAGTCACGGGTTGAATCAATGAATATTTGGTACATAAAGTTTCCTGATATGTACCCGTGCCATAGATCTCCAAATACATGCAGCATATTGGGGAGGTAGAGCGATATCGGTAACATAACAGCACAATATTGGGATATCCTGATATCTTACTTTTAGCACTCTGGGTCTATCGATCTACCTCCCGATATCTTACAAATATGTAGCCAATATACAGCTGATATACAGCTGGTATTTGGCGGATCTATAGCAGACTATTGGGTACATATCAGGAAGCTTGTCTCTCGGTATGTATCCGATATTCATAGAATCGACCTGTGAGTTCAGTATATATAAGTATATAAATATAATAAACTACTGTATATAATGAACATGAACCATTAGACTATATAAACTTAATTAGCTGTTTCTCATAAGCCAACCCGTAAGCTTTGGTAAGTTATTCACTATAAATACTTTCGGGTAGGTTTTTAAAAAAATTTATATGTTTTTTAATATTCTTTTCTAGGTAAAAAAGAACGCGTGGACAGATCATTTTTAAAATCTATGTCATGAGAAACAATTAATTAACTTTGAATGGTTTAGTTCGTTATAAAGAGCGTTGACTGTTTTGGTTAGATTCAAAGGTGATTTGCTAAACTAAATTTACTAAATTGCGAGATAAACGCGATTTTTATAAAGATGACATTAATTTCATTGACTTGAACATCACATGTCCGAATCCTATGCGCTGGATTGGTATTATAGTGCTGTAATATTATTACTATAAATTCTTTATATTAATTATAAATAATTATTTAGTCAGTAAATTAAAGGATTTAGGCATTAAAGAATAGTTTAAATATATACATTATAGTGTCAATCTTGATATAATCACAAATTATACCATTTATTATAAAATATAAAACTAATCTCTGTGTAAGCACTATCACCTTAGTCACATTAAATTTTGGTTAGCAACTCAACGATTATATCGAAATTAGACTGTTGTTAAAGAAATTGTATTAGAAAAGTAAGTACTATGAACTGAATACTCATTTTAAATACACAAATAAATATAAAATTTGAGAAAAACTAAATATAGCAGATAGTGTTATAACGTTATAACAGATGCCATAAACCCCGAATAAATAAACAACTGATTCTGTATTAGTAATTTAAACTTTTTAATGTTTTATTGAGATCTTTTATTTTTTTTGTAAAGCATAATTTTTTTGTCCGCATTTTCTATTTACCGGATTTTGCATATGAAATTTTACAATTTTTTATGCACGTGAGTTACACACGTTATCCTAACCTTGTTATTTTAAATGATATACGGATATATTTAATAATTTTTTAAAGAAAAGTTATAAAAATTAATTCTAAATATTAAGACATCGAACCTCAACAGTTCCTATTTCCAAGTATAATCAAAATCAAAATTATATTTTATCTCGAAACTGTGATCAAAATTTTGAATCAATCCTTAAGATAATACAGTCGTCCTCCCATACAATCACACAGTTGGGCACATAGTAAATTTTTTAAAAATGTGCTTATAGAGGGGTTGTGCTTATATGGAGGTTTTTTTTCTTGTAAATTAAATTATAGTTTGGCCTAAATAAAAATGTGATTACATATGATGTGATTATATGGGAGGTGACTATATGGAGGGACGACTGTATCTAGTTAGAAAATAAAATAAAGCGAAAGTTGGCCTCTTTATATTTTCTAAATGAAATTTAAATATCATTTAGAGACTATATTAAAATATGTAAAAAAAAAAAAACGAATATATTTTGAATGCGAATTGAGTTTAGTTCTTTAAATAGATTATGACAAGTCAATCTATATTCGATAAAATAGATGAGAAAATTAAATGCTAAATGTATAACATTACATTTGGCTTATAATGCAAAAAGAATCTTAGCATTGAGTTTACGAGTATCACAACTTGTTGAGAGAGCAATGTGCATGATTGCACAGTTTAGTTCCAGTCGCTATGATAGCATCAGCCATTAAGTATGGTGAAACGATAGTTGGAGATTAATAAAAGGAATATCGTTATTACTACACAACTTTGTTTATTGATTGGGAAACTCTTAGATACTTCTCTCTTTTATTAACTAGGACAGATAAGCTTTTATACATTTTAGAAATTATAAGATACAATCCTTGGGAGGCTTCAAGGCTACCATGTTAGCCTTACACAGCCTAACACGCGTGAATGCCAACCAAATTAGCTATTTTCAAAATATGAAATAACAAAACTCGTTTGTTATAATAAAGAATACTAATCATATTGTAAGATACTAGGGATGTTATCGGCTTACGCATGCACATAAATTTACGTTAATTATACGTAGAGATGGTCAAAATACGTTTCAACTGTTTTCAAAACTTCCTTTGTTTGCTTTAAAAACATCGGCGTCTGATGCTAAAATTTTGCTGTAATTGAAAATATTGATTGTCAGACGAGAAAATTTTTTTTTAAAAAGACGGAGCTATATAATTTTCAAATTTATTATAAATTAATTTTAAAAAAAATATAATATTGTATATTGACTGTTTTAATTTTTATTAAAGTTTGTCGTTCGTTCTGATATTCAGAGTCCAACAGATTATTTGCCAAATTACTTCGATTAGGGCAAATATAAAATAGGTGTACAGTTTAACGTAATATTGTACATGCAGCTTCCATAAATTTTTCCCAAAAAGATTTTCAATAGTAAAAAGGAATAGAAAAACCTTAATCTTATTTAAATTATCAAAATGTAATATTTATTTTTTTAACAAAAAAAAATCAATAGCTGATAACAATAGTATTTTACTATTGATTGCGTAGATGTGATATAAATAGCACATTGAACACCCCCAACATTACGTTGTCTTACTATCATTTCCAAAAAAATTGGTGAAACTAGAGAAGCTACCTATAAAGACACGAAAGGATTATATTAAGTATCTTGGTATACCACTGATGCTTTACATGAAATACCCGTATTTACTGTATATGTGCACTTATCTTCCTTTATAATACCTTTCTTTCTCAATAATATATTTTCGCATCGTAATTCGATTATACGTAACTATATATATATGAATTAAGTAGCTTATCATTTCTAAGTATGCATGCCGATTTACAATTTAGATAAACAAATAAAGAAATTAATGTACCTAACTCTACTGTACGTATCCGTAAAATTTTCTTTTTCTTATAAAATCATCGCGTTCTACCGCTATACATTTTCACCAATCTGAATTATGCCAAATTACCAAATTGTGCCTAATGTTTTTGTATAATTAATTGAAATTAACGCCTTGCACAAAACTCATTACTTTACTCATAAATCAAGAATGTTATCAAATCATCTGTGATTTTTGATGATTCTGATTTGTTGCGACGTGAAGTTAATTATAAATAGCGTGGATAAGTGAACCTCAACTACTGTAAAGGCTAAAATCCTTTGTGTGAAAATGATTTCTTTTCTTTTTTTGGATATTAACTATATTTGATTAATTTTCATATATCAATTATTGATTTAAAATTTTACTAGCAAATCAAGTTTCAAGATCAGATGTAACGCAAAATAAAAAATTAATAAATTACCGTTACCCGTTTTTTTTTCCTTTTTCTTTTTAATCGTGTATAAAAAATTAATGTTCCAGTGCAACATGTAGAAGGTATCCAGACCATAGAGCAAATATAACTCGAATTCCATTATTAAATTGAAAAAAAACATCAATGGCTAAAAAATTTAATAAAAAACTCAATTTTTATCTCACTTAACATTTCTAACTTGAAGTGCAGTGCATAATTTTTTCTCTACGATGACAAAAAAAAGTAAAGCCACATTACCTTCAATTCTTTAAAATAAAGACCAAAAAATCATTTGATGGAAGCCAAGAAATTATATGAGCTGATGCAATTATTATTATTATTAGAACTATGGGTAGTTATGCTTTTTTTTTTATTTTTATCTTAAACTATAGATTATCGCTTATTTTATCCTTTTGAAATTTACAGAAGAAAGGCTAACAAAATTGGGGATGATAAAACGAAAAAGCTGGTTATAGTGAAATTTGTTACTATGGATTCAACATAATCTTTTTACTAATTGATTCTAAAAATAATTCGATTCATAACAGCATGCTGTAAGTATTTGCTTACTTATTAAAAATAAAAGTATTATTCAAGTTATTGATATTTAATAACAATATAATATAATTATTATATATAGCTCAAAAGAGACATGTCGAAAGAATTAATTTTTCAATGGATTTTTACAATCACATTAATAATCTAGTGGAATTGAAATTCCTAATTCTAGTAGAATTAAAACTCCTAATTTTAATGGAATCAAAACTCCTAAATTAATTTAAATTATAATAAGTTAGATATTAATTCAAATATTATCGTCATTATGAAATATTATAGGTTTGTTAATTATATTATATATAATATTGCTACACTAAAAATAAATAATAACTGTTATTTTATTTTATCAAAACTGTTAACTATTAGTCATTTGGAATTTGCATTTTCTGCTGCATTTGTTAAGATTGTGAGTAATCAAAAAAGTAATAATTATATTAGTAAAATTGAAAATGGCTTTTTTTATATATAATAAATAATTTTCTATAACTAATTATCTAGATGTTAAAATTTTCTTCGTATAAGCACTTATTCAAAAAAAAAAACAAGTATTCAGAATAAGTGCTAAAAATAAATATATATTAACTCAAGGTTTTGTAAATTTCTTAAATAAATAAGCTATACATGTATACTAATAAAATACTAACTTGACATATCTTTTTAAAGTTAATTAAAAAGCAGAATAAAATAAATTATTGAATATTGAATATAAATTTGATCAATTACTAATTCAAGCTAAAAACATATACGAGGTAAATATTTGAGTAATTTTTATATAATCGCCCTTTGTATCTTCTTTTTATATAATTAAATATTAATATTCTATCACTATTTACATGTAGTATAATAACAACAGAAAAGAGATTATAACGAAAGTTTAGAGCTTGTTCAAAAGTGGTCAATTTTTCACTATGAAGCTACTTGATGAGTTTAGTTAAAAATATAAAATAATTTGATTCTTTTTTTTTTTTATAAAATAAGTTTTTTTTTTTATTAGAACAATTTTTATTTTTTTTTTATTAGAATAGGTTTTTTATTAGAATAGCTTTTTACATTAATTAAGTGATGATCGGTTAAATATTTCAGGCTTTTGCAAGGATGATGAATGTTAAACCTGAGAAGATTCCCTTGTTTGAACCAAAATATTGACACAAGTAATCAAAGGACAAACAATTAATCTACACAGGTGCCATACCAACACGAATTAAGGCACCTGGAATGAAATTAAAATTCAAAATTCCCCTGAGATTGGAATATATTTGGCGTAGATAAAGTAAGAGAGTTCATTGGAAAACCATCTTGGAATACATGAAAAATCTCGGTGCTTTGGAGAAAAAATAGATGAAGTAATCAGGAAGGGAAGGTGGAAAGAAAAAAGACGGTAAGGAGAAAAAGAAGGAGTATTTAAAAAAAGGTAAAGAGGAAGTCATACACTTTCCTTCATAAAAAAGTAATACATACCAAAGTAGAATTTAATGAACTTATCGAAAAATTAGAGAAAGGGACGAGTACTGTAAAATTGAAATATAATATATATATCACGAGTGGCTTTACTTTACTTTTTAACTGTATACATTCAGTTATTGAATAAAATACCTTTTTTTTTTTAGTATACACAATAAAAACTTGAAAATTTCATTTCCGCCTATACACTTACGAATAAAAAGAGAATTTGTAATACGCAATATTACAAAATTGGTTACAAACATCGATCGTTGCTAACGTGGATGCCATTCGCTTTCATAAATTGATAATACTAAGCTTTTATCTACATGTATTTACCTATTTACCATATTCTGCCATAAATTCAACCTACATGGGAGAAAGTTGCCAATTATGCTTGTATAGTAAACTGTTTTCTTTTCCATATTACTTATACGTGAGAAAGTAACTAATGCGAATTCATCAGAACAACATCAGTAACACAAATACTGTGCAAACTGATTTTAATACAGTATCGGTATCGATAAATTTAAAATAATTATCGTTATGTAAATTTATTTAATTAATGAATTATAAAATTGATTTTTCATATACTTTATATCTGAATATGCGATATTTTGAGTAAAATTTATGGATTTTCGAAAAATCTTGCTATTTTGAAACGATATTTATTGTTATGCGACTTTGATGAAAAAATATTTAACAAAATCTTAAGATCTGTTAAGCTCTTGTTATTTGTTTTAGGAGTGCAGATTATGTTTTTAGAACCGCAAAAATTTATTAAATGCGTATAAAGACCAATGCAAAAAAATCTAATTAAAAGATGAGAAGAAATTTAATAATATGATCTAATATGTCATCAAGGTATATAACTGTATGTCGTTCGACTCGCTTATTTGGAATTTAGGATCCAGTGGAAACGAAGTATATTGTCTTCAAAAATTGTCACATTACTTGGTGTATGCAATATTTATTTACATTATATAGAATGTTTTATTTTTATAAATTGATAAGCCATTTATTTTATATTAAAAAAAAGATAATGTAGCATTTATATAATTGGTAATAATCAATACTTAAAAAATGAAAAAATCTCAAACCGATCAGGCTTTATTATACTAAGAAATTTTTGATTATGTAACGAAAATAAATAAAAATCGAATAATTTATTTTTCGAATAAGTTTCATATTATAATAACATCATGATAAACCTGTAAAGAATAAATAATTGATTAGAGACATCGAATGGATAAAATAATTCCTTTGCACATATTTGAATGTATAATAATATTCGAAGCCTTATTGTTTACCAGCAATAAATGATTGGGAATCGTTATTGTTGTAATTCTACAAATTAAATAATATAAAAAAGATAATTGTAGCGTAGTTATGGCGGTTAATATTTTTCGTTCTTCATAATTTACCTCGTTGATGAAATCGCTTTCAGAATAAAAATCCGCAATTATGAAAGCACTCCTTATTAAAGCGATCATAATTATTGTATAAATTATTATAAAAATTACAAGTAGATTACTCATATTTTTTTCGTATCTCAGTTTGGTTAATAATTCATTAAAGAACTATGGTCTCTTGTTTTTTTTAATAAATAAGTATTTTATATTAATAGCTTAGCTTAAGTAGAAATCGAACAATTCGAGAATAAATAGAGGCTAACAATGGCAGAGGAAAATTTCCGGATTTAACGCGTTTGATAAGTTATGAAAAATTTTGCAAGTAATTTTAAAAAAGCCATTTTCGGTGGCTTCTGATCTAATTACAGTATTGTGTTACCTTTTTTAAATAAACTATTTTGTAATGTTTAAATCATAGATTTTCGCTTTTAAAGAAATTTAAGCCTCACTTATCTAATTCTAAATGCTTAAGCCTCATTCCATAAATGCATGCACTAAAGATATTTTATTCTTAGTGCAGGTATGTTGACGAATAAACAAACGGTTCATTGTCCGATAGAAAAACACAGACTACACAAAACCATTTCATTCTAAGAAGATAAGAAAATTCTTTTTTGATACGTACTACGTAAAATGGTAGTTACACAATCGATTAAAGATGAATCTTTGAAGCAATTAAGAATTTTAATGGTCATTTCAAATAAAAAACATTCTCAAAGAAATAATAGCATCCTCATATCCAGTTTCTACATCTAACGATATCTTTAGTTACCTTTACGACAACGACCTCGTTACCATAAAAGTTTGAATTATACCAATAAGTTTAATTATTTTATCGAATGAAGAACAAGTTTGCTATAAATTTTATGTTACTACGTTCAAGTGATTTTTAAGCCAATACTTTTCTTGATCACTTCATAGATTTCTATTATAATTAGAAAACGCATTATGTGAGTGTTCTCACGTACCTCAAATTATGCAAGATGTAAGCTTACCTTACTAATCATAATTCCTTTTTCTTTCGCGATTCTTTAGATAATGACAAAGTTCTTATTCATTACGGTTCTCTCTTTCTTTTATGATTAGGGTTATTTATTTATCTATATATTTATTGAATTAAGACTTTGGGACAACATATACAAGGCTCGCACATACTATAAACAAATTCAGTATTGATAACTAGTAGAGACACAACTTTCCAGTCAATGTGATCTTTGCTTAATTGTTTTGTATAAAAAGTAGAAAATACTTTAATAATATTCCTTATAAGATAAATTTTTTTGGATATACATCATAGTTATTCTTGGAATAAAATCCTTGAATATTTTACGTTATATGATACATACAGTATAAATACTTTTACTTTTAATTTTACTTTTAATTTTACTTTTAATTTTACTTTTAATTTTACTTTTAATTTTACTTTTAATTTTACTTTTAATTTTA